ATTATCCTTCCACCCTTGATCTTCCACACTCCCTCATCCCCAACCTAAATGGAAAGTATTGAGCAATTAAATGCTAATGGAGAAGAACCCAAGAAAATTTCAAGATGCGAGAGAGAAACAACCCCTAGAATGAATTTGCCAGGTACCCTAAAGGTATGAAATTCTGAGTGCAATTGGAGTGATTAGACTTTGACTTTAGAAGAGATATAGGTGTAGTGGCATGTACCTGCAATCCTACATCCTTGGGCAGCTGAGGTGGAAGGATCATTTGAGCCCAGGAATTCAAAGCTGCAAAGAGCTATGACTACACCACTGCATTCCAGCTACAGAAACTCAATGGGCAACAGAGGAAGATCCTGTCTCTAAAAAATAAAAATATGTAAATAAACAAATAAATATTAAATATGGTTAAAAAAAGAAGAGATATTTAAGTTCTTTAAAAGGATAAAAGATTTCTGTAAAGATGTGCAAATTTGTATATTTCAGCACAGGAAGTTGGAAGTCTTTACTATGCAAAGCTCTTATTTCCCTATGAAAGAAGTTGAAAGATCCTTTGTTGAAAGTTATGGCAGAAATAGTAGATTTGGTGTTCAGGGAAGATTGAACAATTCTACATGGTTAATAATGTTGACATAAATATTTGGTGCATTATTTCACAAAGAGCAGAACTTTGGAGTCTGCATTAACTACTTAATTCTTTTCAATCATTTTGAAGGTTAAAATGTGAGGCAAAATGGCAATAGGGCATGTTTCTTTTTTTTGCCTTTTTGTAATTACTCTTCTTTTTTACCATATATGAATTAGAAGATATTTTATGTTACACAACACTTTTGTTTCTGAAGCATTATCTTCAGGTATTTCCATGCCACACTTATCTAAATATAGAATATATATTTATATATGTAATATAGAATGCATATTTATATATTTATGTATGTTTATATAAATATCTATAAGTATACTTATATATATTGGTAGGATTTTGGAGTTATGAATGTAGAAGGGAAATTTCAATTGAAACCAGGCAAGGCAGAGAGAAAAGGGGAAACAGCACAGAGATCTGAGCAGTGTGGAAGCAGGAAAACCATTCTTTGCATAAGTCCAAGGAAGAGTCTTTGAACAAGGCTATTGTCCACTATGTACAATTCAGCCAAGGATTACAGTAAATATAAGTATAGTACAGTAAATATGTGTATATATAAAAGTATATATTTATGCTATATATGAATATATATATAAATTTATATATATAAATATATAAAATGTATTCTATATTACATATAAATATATATGTAATATATATTTATAAAATTATCATATATAAGTACTTTAAATATATATAATTATCAATACTATATATTGAAGTATAGCAGATATTTCTGAGATCAACAATATGGCAAATTGCCTGGTTTAAATTTTCATGAACACTGCAGTACAAACAGAGGACTTTTAAACAGTGATTTTGGAATTATGCTATGGTACAAACAGGAAAAAAAAAAGAATACTAAATAAATATTAAATAAAAGGACAAGAACTTGGAAAATGCTTTCTAATGCTGACTAATTCACCTCATAGAGTACTTTGTCTTTCTGTCACTTTCAATTTAACTAATATGTTATATCAATTGTGGATGACATTCATAATTCCACTAAATTAATCATCTTCAGCATCTATAAGTTCACTTCTTTAAACTTTTCAGCTGCTAAATAGATTTTAGTTACAAATCCATTAATCTAAACCTAAAATTGAACAGGGAAGTGACAAAATTATTTTGAGTTCAAAGTACAGTTTTAAAATGTTCAAAGTAATTCTGTTTTTAAAGGAGAAAGTATAGTTGTTTTATTAATCTGTTCATCAATTTTCCCTGCTATATTGTTTTAATGGCTTTAGTTGTATAGTATTTTATTTAATACTTATTGCTTTTTATTTATTTATTTTTATTTCTCCATGCCTAGAGTATAAAAGGAACAGTGAGAAGCCCACGGGTCTGGAGTAGTATAAGAACCAAGTGTAGGAGATGAGGACTGAGGAGTTATCAGACCATGTGGATAATAAGGACTTTGACTTATATAATAAATGGATTGAGATGCTACAGAAGAAAATTGAGCAGGAGAGTTTCATCATCTGAATTGCTTTTTAAAAGCTTTATTTGGTTGCTATCTTGAGAAAGGAAGAATGAGGCCACATGCACAAGCAGAAAGGACGGAAGCTATTAAAATAACTCAAGAGATCATGGTGGGGTTTTATCAGAATAATGGTGGAAATGGAAAGAAGTAACTGAATTTGTTATGTTTTGTGAAGGGCAAGCTGATTTAGTTAGCTTTAGTTTGGATGTGGCATGTGAGAGCAATAAGTAAGTTAACATATCCAATAATTTTGGGAAGGATGGTATCGATATTTACTGAGGTGACAGACTGACAGAGAAACAGTTTTGAAGACGTTCTGAGTTTGGCTTTCCAATGTGTTCAGTGTGGGTTGCCCTTTAGAGGTGTTGAGTAGGAAGCTGGATAAGTGCATTCAAAGTTCAGTGGAGAGCTACAGGCTGGAGAGAGACACTTAAAGATCTGCAGCATTGCATCAGTACAAATGCAGTGGGTACATGAACTGTCCAATGTAGTAGATCAGAAACACAACGGGCACCAGGACTAAACTTCAGTACACTCCAGTACTCAACTCTGTCACCCAACTTTTCTAATACATTTTTTCTTGACATATTTTAAAAAATTCCTAGCAGACTATATTTTATTATTATTTAAATTTTTTAATTTGCTGCGTCCTTAATTTCTGAGTATAGTACCTTCTTATTGTTTCTTGAAAATAGTAATTACAGTAGTTTTGTAAACTAATATTCTATTTTATATCTTACATTGGATCTAGTTACTTCTCTCCATTTCCACCAGTATTCTGATCAAAAACCACCATGATCTCTTACTTAAGTTATTTTAATAGCCTCCGTCCTTTCTCCTTCTGCAAATGGCCTCCCTTTTTTCCTGTTTTTTTTTTTTCTTTCCCTACCACACATTCTATTTCTTAATCTCAGCCTTGACTATTCCTGTTTTTCTTGTGTCTTTTTGCTTTCTGGTACTCTTATGTTCTTCACATGCCCACATATCTTTGATTTTTCCACTCACAATGATGAATAGATTTATTTGAGGTATTTGGTGTGAGCTTCCTTTGCTATTGTTTATAAAAACTTGCCTTCCTGCCTCCTCTCTCTTGAGTGGTACGGTTCATTGACAGTTCTGTTGGCAATTGGAGGGTTTATTGATGGATTTAATCCCCTGTGGTTTAATGATGAGATTTCAGAAGTTAAATGGGGGACATTCAATTACCAAAATGAATTTAATATTCTTTTGGTGATCCTAAACCAAAACTGGTTGCTTTCATTTTATCTATATCCTCTCTTTTATTTAGCAAAGTAACGTCTCTATTGTTTTGGTCAGGGATTAATGCTACATTGTCTATTTAATTTCCATGATAGTGAGTTGGACTCACATGCACAAACTTTCAAAGAATTCTGTGGTATTATCTCTTGTTCTCCCACTTGCCTTCTGTGTGCGCTCTTTATGTTACCAGCTCTGAAGATGGATTCTCTCTGTAGTGTCTGGGGAAATCAGCTTCTACCATTATTGTAGTTGATTTCTAGTATTCTTGGACTATGGTATTTTTCTGCTGTTTCCTTTACTATCTCTTGTTATCAGTTTATTGCCTTTCAGAGAATTATTCCAATAACCTTTAGGTTTATTATTATAGATGCAATAATGGTTTAACACTCAGGTAATGAATTTGGCAAGAACATTCTTAAAACTTGCTTCCTCCAGTTATTAGCTTTGTGAATTTAGGAAAGTTATTTAAGCCTCTCAAAAACATGATTAACTTTTCTGTAGAGTAGGGATAATGATAATAATGTCTAACATATAGGATTATGTTAGCATTAACTAAGGCAATATATATCAAGTTTAGTTTCTGGGGACTAGTAAACACTTAATATTACTACTATTAATAACAACATTATGAGTACTGTAATTTTAAATTTTTTAAACAGGCAGTATAATATTAGCTTTTGTATTTTAATTTGTTATAAGATTACATACAAATTATGTAATACAGGTGATGTAAACATTTACCCACATAGCTTATAATATATGTCAATACAACAAAAATAGCATATATGTGTGCAACTACGCATTTCATGTATTTATCAAATTTCATGATTCTGCTGAAAAATTCTAATTTTAAGATCAGCTGTGGGAAAATAATCCTTGTTGGCATTTATGGGACTTTTCTCACCTTTCTGTTTTTTCTGCAGTCATTTTCTATGGAAATTTATTGGCAGCATTTATAGATGTTCTTCATGTATTTTATCAGCCCAAGCAGTGTGTGTGTGTATATATATATATATGTCTATATATGTCTATATACACACATATATATATATATATATATGTGTGTATATAGACATATATATACTTTTTCCATTGTGTGTGTGTGTATATATATGCTTTTCCAAAGTGTGTGTGTGTGTGTGTATATATATATATATATATATGTATACTTTTTCCATTGCCCAAGTTGGTCTCTGTTACAATTAATATGCTATCAATGCTTTATAGAAAATAGACATAAAAAGGATTACAAAGAATACTGAGATACTGATTTTCAGGATGAAAAGATAAGGGTTAATTGGTTAGTTTGGAAATCAATTGGTCAGTTATTTAGGAGTTTGTGGGGGTAACTGAATTCTGCTTATTTTTCAACTGATGAATTGGGGTTTATGGAGATTCACTGATTTTTTTACTTACAACTTAGCATTTTTGAACTACAAGTATAACAATAAATGGTTCAACCACAATCATTACATCATCAGCAACAAGCCTGTCAGGATCCACATAGGGTAAAAGCAAAACAACACTAAAGCTAAATGAAAGACTAATGTGGATTATCCTGTAACCACCTTTCTCATATCATCATGTGATTGTAATTTTAACTTTCTTTTTCAGTTTGACATTCTTCTTGGTCAACATAATGATGAAATGGAGGAGCTATCAGGCAATATGAAGGAAGAATCTAAATCTCAAAACAGCAAAGATAGAGTGATTTGTGAGCTAAGAGCAGAGGTAAGACACTGGGTAAAGAGTGCCACATGTATTAAAACATAACTGACTGTTGTTAGATGCCATGCTATTTTAAATGGGGTAATGGAGGTACCTTTGGTTAGTTTATGAAAATAAATGCTGCTGCTAATGTAATCAGCTTATATATGATTTAAAAGGCTGTGGAATGACATTGGCCCATAACTAGATCTGAATTATTTGAATATAACAAAGGTAAAATCTTTGACTATAAAACTATCTTGTGGCCGATACAAGTCTTACTGTGCATAAATATTTTTTAAAAGCTCAACCAGCTGCTGGATCGTGTATGTTCATTTATTTCAGAACCAATGGCATACAAGATATGTGACATGCAATTTCTGGTGAAATTAACATTTCTATTGGAAGCTAACAACAGTGAGAGATAAAATAAATCCACTTTTGTTATAGTTAATTCATTTCTTAGGCATACCAAGTAGTGAAAACATTTATTTTCCACTCCTGCCACCATCAACAATAAATGAATTTTCAAAAATGTGTAAACTCTGAATGTTTTATTCTGTTCTGTAGCTAAAAAAGGAATTATTGTCCTTATAGAAAAGAGAAGGGATTGAATTATTTGTACTTCATAGAAAATAGCATGATAGCATTAAAAATGGAAAATCACAAATTATTTGTTTTTGGACAGATAATTATGAGAAAATGTCTTAGAAACAAATGTGTAAGAGCAATTTACAGACTGAAATGAATTTAGTGCAACTGTGGGCTGGTGGAAAACTAATCTGTAGTAGGTTTTCTTCTTTATATATCTCTTCAAATTCTGAATTCGTATCAGAGTGTATTTATATCAGATGAATATAGTGCAATGGGAAATATACAGATATTGGAGCTACAAATGGCTCCATCACTTTCTGATTACTTTTTTCTGGTCAACTCCTTAAGCGTCTCTGAGTCTCAGTTTCCAGATTAAAATAATAGTAATAATAATATTAATAATAGTCATGAAACGGGATTTTGGAAAATGTATATACTGCAAGGGAACATTTGTCTGAGACAGAGTGCCCTAGTATTGGAACTTACAGCTATGCTGTTTAGGATAATTATATCCTCCCTGTGTTCCTCCTCATTACATCAATGCCATCCCTTAACAGCTCTTCCATGTATCCTAAAAGGGGTGTTGGGGTAAGAGGGCATATATCAAGAGGTCCATTATGATAAAGGCTGAACTACTTAATACAAATCTTCCTGAGTCAAAGGGAAATATTGGTGGCTTTCATAACTCTTGTTTTCTAAGAAGAATCAAACTATCAGGACAGGTACCTCTTTTTTTTTGACCCTCAGCTCTGAGAAGCATCTTTCATTAAACATTGCACAGCATGTTGTATAAAAGCTTATTTAATAGTTAATGGCACAAAAGGAGGAAGGGACATATAGATATTTATTATAACTTTTCTCAAAAGCCAAGAACATTATGTATACACTTTTTAAAAGACAAGTTATAGGTTCACAGCAAAATTGAGCAGAAAGTACACAGTTTGTACATACCTCCGTTCCTCCAGAGACTCCTCCACAAACATCATCCTTCATCTTTGTTGTATGTTTATTATAACTGATAACAAACTGACACATTATCAACCAAAGTTCATAGTTTACATTAAGGTTCACTCCTTGTTGTACATTCTATGAATTTTGACAATGTATAATAGCATATATCCACCATGTGAGTATCACACAGATACTAAACAAACACTGTATAGAAATATACTTTTTTGCAACCTGTTTGTTTACATAAAATGTATCACAAGTTCTTATGTTTACATAAAAGTAATTGTGCAATTGCACTATAATTTAATTAAAATATAACCTACTTTAAAAATTATCATTTTTAGATATATAACACTACAGTAAGTATGCATACATACATAAATCATTGGACATTTAAAAATGGCTTAGGGTATATTCCTAGAAAATAGCATGGCTTGGTCAACATTATATTTATTTTTTAAATCTTTATACACATTGCAAATTGTTCTATTAGAAAAATTGTATCATTTTACATTCTCAATAAGTAAAACTAAAATCTCTAAATATTATGTGTAAAGCAAATATTGAAAAAGACTCAAAGTTGGAGAGAAGAGGTATATCACCTAAGATACCTGATAAGTGAGAAATGGCATGCTGATGAGTTTTCTGGGTTTTTGTCACATATATTCCAAAATTAGAACTGAAGAAGCCAGAAATCTGGAAACATCAACAAACACAGATTAATACACAAAAATACCTAAAATGAAAACACAACCTAAGTCTGCTTGCTCTAGCGAAAGTACTAAGGAAGAATCAATGTAACAAGACAGAAAACTTTTAAGACAATAATGCTCTACTTGAGCCCAAATCACAGAAAACTGTGACCCCACCCCATGCCTGTTAGCTAAAGCCAGGTGTGGAACCTGGACTTCTATATATACATCTGGAAGTTACAAGGCAATGCTTTCCTTTGACTTTCAATTGTGGTGTCACAAGAACCCACCCAAAACAAAATGTTAGATAAAATCCAAATCTCATGACATATTTCACAAAGTATCCAGGATACAATTGGATATTACTCATCATACCCAGAACCAGAAAAATTTGAAGTGAGTGAATGAAGACAATTGATAGATGCCAACACTGAAATGACAAAGATGTGTTTATTATTTGCAAGGATTATAGAGTGGCCATCATAAAAATGCTTCAGAGAGAAATTGTGAATACACATCAAATAAATAAAAAATAGAAATTTTCAGTAAAGAAATAGAAGGTCTCAGCAAATAAAAAAATTTCAAAAAAGGAACAAATGGAAAAACTAAAACTGAAAAATGTACTGAATTTTTAAAAAATCTGAATGTAGAAGACAGAGGAAAGAGTCAGTGAACTTGAAGTTAGTTGAATGGAAGTTATCCTATCTGAATGACAGAAGAAAATAGGCTGTATTTTAAAAGTAAAGCCTCAGAGACCTGTGGGGTGATTAAAAAAAAATTACATTCATGTCATTGGAGGCCAGCATGAGAGGAGAAATAGTATAGGGCTGATAGTACAAAAAAGAAGAAGAAAACTTCCCAACTTTCAAACAAAAGTGTCAAACCTAGAGTCAAGAAGTTTAGTGAAACCCAGACAGCATAAACCAACAAATATTGATATTAAGACACATCATAGTCAAACTTAGGGAAAATAAAGAAAATAGTCTTTTTTTTTTTTTTTTTTTGGAGACGGAGTTTCACTCACATTACCCAGGCTGGAGTGCAATGGCGCGATCTCAGCTCACCGCAACCTCCGCCTCCTGGGTTCAAGCAATTCTCCTGCCTCAGCCTCCTGAGTAGCTGGGATTACAGGCATGCGCCACCATGCCCAGCTAATGTTTTGTAGTTTTAGTAGAGACGGGGTTTCACCATGTTGACCAGGATGGTCTCGATCTCTTGACCTCGTGATCCACCCACCTCGGCCTCCCAAAGTGCTGGGATTACAAGCGTGAGCCATCGCGCCCGGCAGAAAAATAGTCTTAACAATAGCTAGAAGGAAATTACAGTGTATATACAGGGGAAAATGTCCAAATAACAGTGCTTATCACATCAGAAACTCTAGAAGTCAGAAAGAAGTGGCACACAATTATTGAAGTTCTAAAAGTGCTGTCAACTCAAAATACTGTATCCACTGAAAATATCCTTTATGTCATTCTCTGATGAGGAGAACTAAGATAAATTGTCTCTAGCAAATAGGCATGTGAAAAGATGTTCAACTTATTAGTTATCAGGAAAATGGAAATCAAAACCATGATGTGATGTAACTATACACCTATCAGAATGGCTAAAATCAAAATAGCAGCAATACTAAGTGGTGGTAAGGATGCACAACTACTGAATTACTCACCTATTGCTACAGGGAATGTAAAATGATACAATCACATTGGCAAATAGTTTGATAGTCTTCAAAACTGCAACTACAATATTATCAAGCAATTGGATCCCTGGGAATTGACCTCATAAAAATAGAAGCTTATTTCACACAAAACCTATAGGTAAACCTTGAGTATTTTATTTGTAAATGCCAAAACTTAGAAACAATACAGGTGATCTTCATGGGGTAAATAATTAAGCGATTACATCCATACCTTGAAGTACTTCTCAGCAACAAAGTAGAATGAACTCTTGATACATGCAACCATCTGGATAAATCTCTTGAAGTATAGTGAGTGAAAAATATTCCTAAAGACTACATAGCCCATGATTCTATATATGTATATAATATTTTTAATGTGACAGCATTTAGAAATGGCAAACATGTTAATGGTTTCCAGGAATACAGGAGTGAAGGGAGTGGATGGTGTGGCTAAAAAACAGCCACGTGATGCATCCTTGTAATGATGGAAGCATTCTGCATTTGACTATATCAACTTCTTTGTATCAAAAACTGTATTATTGTATCATTGTCCATGTCTGGTTTTGGTATTTTACTACTGTACTGATGTTTAACAGCTTACCTAAAGGATTCATTCATTCCTAAATGTAAGGTACTAAAAATTGCACACAGTAGTAGACACTCAACGAATTCTAGAATAAGAATGTAGATCCTGGTCTCTTGGGTACCAAAGATGAATTTCATGTGCCTTTTACCATTGGAGGGGTAAAAGGCACATGGCATTTATCTTTTCTGTCAACTGCCTATGAATTGACAGTTAGTCAAAAATGAAAATTTAATTCAAACGTCCTAATCCTTTTTTGAAATGTATGCTGAGTTTTACCTTTTCCACATACGCCTCTGAAAAAAAATGTATCCCTTACTTCTTACCACTTAGGGATGCAAGAGACCTGGACCTAGTTTCTCTTCCTGGGACTATCCAGTGTCTGACATCCCCAAAATTAGATAGGTGTTTCTGAGTGTTTGCTTATCTGGAAAATGGTGTTTAATTAACAGTTAATCTAAAACATTAATTCATTCATATATATAAAATACCAAAATTTATACACATATATAGTAGGCACTCAATAAAT